TCTTGTCCTCGGTCTGTCTGCGCTTGATTCCCTCTTCACGTTTGTGCTCTTCACCCTTTTTACTCTCTCTCCTCCTCCTCCTCCTCCTCCTCATCATCATCATCATCATCATCATCATCATCATCATCATTATCGTCGTCATCGACTGGTCCGCTGACTGTCTCTGTCTTGTCTTCAGCCTCGTGGATCAGGAGGAGGAGGAGCGGGAGAGGCTGGGGATCGCATTGTGAACCAGATCCTGACAGAGATGGACGGAGTTGGAGCGAGGAAGAACGTGATCTGCATCGGTGCGTCCAATAGGCCTGACATGCTCGACCCTGCCGTCTGCCGTCCCGGACGTCTTGATCAGGTTGATATGAACTCCGTCGTCCGTCCCTCCCTCCCTCCCTCCCTCTCCCTCCCTCCCTCCCTCCCTCCCTCCCTCCCTCCCTCCCTCCCTCCCTCCCTTCCTCCCTCCCTCCCCCTCTCCCTCCCTCCCTCCTCCCTCTCTTCCTCCCTCCTACGACTTGTTCTCCTTCTCACCTTCTCCCAGCTCGTGTACATCCCCGTGCCCGACAAGGCATCTCGTGTCAAGATCTTCCAAGCCTGTCTGAGGAAGTCGCCGCTGGACCCTGCGGTAGACATCGATGCCATGGCCGAGGTGACGGAAGGATTCTCCGGCGCAGGTCAGGAGGCGATCTCAACCCTGTCTTGCAACCTACCTCCCCTCCCTCCCTCTCCCTCTCCCTCTCCTCTCCTCTCCTCTCCTCTCCTCTCCTCTCCTCTCCTCTCCTCTCCTCTCCTCTCCTCTCCTCCTCTCCTCTCCTTTCCCCTCCCCTCCCGTCTCGCCCTCTCCATCCTCCGTGTCTTGCCTTCACTAACAGCAACATCAGGGAGGAGCGGACCTGGAGGCCATCAAGGCCATGGGGTCGGGAGGAGGAGCTGCAAAACCAGCGGCAGACGATGAGGAGGATCTCTACTCATAATCAGCGGAGACGTCGGAGATGGAAAGTTTGTGTTGGGATGACGTGGAATGTGAGAAGTGAAAGTAGAAAGGAAGACAGAAATGATCTTGTGAAGTTGTCTTGTTCTGCTAGATTACATGAAATCGTTAACAGCGATCTTTCTGTGTTGGATCATCGTCGTTCCCACCTGCTCCTCCTCCTCCCTTCCGTCAATACTGGTCTCGCTCTTCCCCTAGAGCACCCGTGTTTCATCGCTCATTCCTCGGGATTCCAAAAAGATCTTCAACCTGCAACACCACACGGTCAGCAATGGAGGAGGACGAGGGAGGAGGGAGAGATAGCTGAGAGAGCAAGAGAGGAGGAATGCAAGACAGTAACGATTGTGTTGAGAGCGTACCTGGCGGTGAAACTGGCTGAAGGGAGGGCTGGTGTCAATGGGAGGGAGTGAGCGAGTGTTGGCAGCCGCAGCAGCGAGGAGAGGAAGGAAGTTGAAGGAGACGAGCATCCTGACTGTCCCCACGACGCTTCCCTCCCGGTCCAAGTAGACGTCCAGCTCCATGCTCTGTTGCAATGTCAGTGTGCGAGCGAGCGAGCGAGCAAAGAGCGAAGAACGGAGGAAGGCGAGGGAGAAGGGAGGAGGGAGGAGGAGGGAGGGAGGAGACAGGAAACAGGAGAGGAGGGAGGGATAGAAACCTGGCCATGCAGCAGCTGCGAGAGGTCGATGGTTGCCTTGCCGACAAGCTCATCGTCACTGAAATTATTCTGCTGGAAGATTTCGATGTGGAGGTCAAACTTCTCTTCCGAGAGCTCAAACTGAAACCTGAAGGAGGATGAGAAAGAAAAAGAGGATGAAGAAGAGAGAGAGAGAGAGAAAGAGAGAGAGAGAGAGAGACCGAGAAGGAGAAAGAGAAGGAGAAAGAGCGAGGGCCAACAAGCCAAGGGCAACAACTTACATCTCGTTGTACTGCGGATTGAAATCTTTCTTAACGACGTTGGAGAAATGTTTGTGATGTGACGAATTCCCTTCTTCTGTCTTGAAGCTTCCGGCATACTAAAAGCAACGGTCATCTTGGTTGTTACCTTCACCCTCTACTTCATCTCTATCGTCGTCGTTCACACCGTTCTGCTGCTCCTGCTCCTGCTCCTGCTCCTGCTCCTGCTCCTGCTCCTGCTCCTGCTCCTGCTCCTGCTCCTGCTCCTTCTCCTGCTCAACCTCTCTACAATCCACAACACTTTCCTCCTCATCTGCAACTACGACGATGGCACGATCTTCATCTTCATCTTCATCTTCGCCGTCAGACTTTTCAAGGTGCTCACTTTGAGGATAACGTAGGTCGAAGGTCTCTCTGCTCCAAAGATGTCCACCTGAGAGCAGGAAAAAAAATGTGAGCAGAAGACGTGGACAAGGTAGCGCAGGAAAGAGGAGAGGAGGAAGAGGAGGAAGAGGAGGAAGAGGAGGAAGAGGAGGAAGAGGAGGAAGAGGAGGGGAAGAGGAAGGGGAGAAGTCAGGAGGAGAGGGGAAGAAAGGGAAGGAAGGGAAAGGGAGGAAGGGGAGGGAAGGGAGGAAAAGGGAGGGAGGAAGCGGGAGACAGCAAGGGAACAGGAGGAGGCTGAGGAGGAGCAACAGGATCAAGAAGCTTCTGCAGCACCTTCACCATGGGCTCGATGGGAACCAGGTTGCGTGCAGAGATGACGTGAACGTTGAGGTGTCCGACAAACTTCTTGTTCGAGCTGAGAAGCATGAGTGAGAGACTAGCAGAAAAGGAGGATGAAAGATGAGAGCTGGAGCGGGAGCAGGGACAGGAGCGGGAGCGGGAGCAGGGGCAGGGGCAGGTAGAGTAGGGAGTCCAGGTTGACAGCATGCGCACAAGATGAGATACCGCAGCGCCGCCATCATTCGGTTTCTTCGCTTGTGAATCGCTATGGCATCCTGCAACCTGGATTGAACTGTAAGAGAAGGAAAGGAAGAGCAGGGGGAGCAGGGGGACGAGGAAGAGCAGGAGGAAGTGCAGGAGCAGGAGCAGGAGACTGCATTTTGACGGACGGTTGGACCTGCAGGAGTTGTATCTCTTCTCTAGCGAGTCGAGCTTCGAAGCTTTACTCTTCCTCTTCCTCGTCTGCAGCTTGTCATAGGCAAAGGGCCAGTGTGGAGTAATCAAGGAAATGGAGGTGGAGATAGAAAAAGGACGTGGGCAGGAACAGAGGAAGTAGTGGAAGAGGAAGAGAGCAGGAAGAGTAAAGCAAGAGGAGCAGGAAGGGAGAGGAGATGAAAGTAAGAGGAGGAGGCGACGGAGGCTAGCTGGCAAGGTTACCAGCAGAACTTCATCGAGGAGGGAGGCAAGGAAGCTGTCGCCGCCGTAATGGCACCAGAGCGCCTGCATGTGGAGACCATCGGGGCCTTCGAAGAGCTCCAGGCAAGGGTCGTCAGCAGCCGACAAGTCGAGGCTGGTCCTGCCGACCTCGTGTGAGGGGGGGGAGGAGGAAGAAAGAAGAAACGAGAAGTGGGTTTGCTGCTGAGGGAGGCTAGAGAGAGGGGAGGATCGGAGATCGAGAGGAGCAGAAACAGGAGGTGCAGGGGCAGGAGCAGGAGGAGAGAGGAGAGAGCGGAGGAGAAGGAGGAAGGGTTGAGGAGCCCTACCCTGCCTCGAGGACGGTGGCATAGATTTCGAAGAGGAGAAAGTCTCTTATCCTCTCCCTCCATCCCCGGATGGCCCCAAGAAGGCGCTTCCCGATGATTTGAGGAGCAGACTTCTGCCATTCCAGGTTCTCCTCCTCCTCCCTGCAAAACTCTCAGCTCCCGTCCTCCTGCTCAAAATCACAAGCAGAACCACTCAGAGAAGAAGGCGCTGGACAGCTTGGCGTCCTCCTCCATACTGTCCCTCCTCCTCCTCTCGTAAAACTCGTCCATGGAGTAGTGCGAGGTGTCCATCACCTCCCGAGCCTCCTCCCTCCTCTCGGTTCCTTTCCCTGCGCCCCTCCCGTTCATGATCGAGTGCGAGAAGTCAGAGAACTTGTCGGAGAAGCGAGACATGGAGGAGACAGGGGAGGAGAGACGGGTCGATACGTTGGAGACAGCAGCTTTGAGGTGATCGTGGATGCTGTTCAGACTCTTTGTCTTCTGCTTCTGCTTCTTCGCCCATAACGAGACTCCCTGGAAGACTTTCTGAGCAGAGCGGAACTCCGACTTGCTGGGGGGAGAAGAGGACTTGTTGTGATTGACGTTCTTCTCCTTCTCATCCTGCAGCATCTTCTCCTGGATGAACTGTGTGCTTCTCGACGCTCGCTCGCTCGGGCTGTTCCCATTGAGTGGGAAAGACACATCCTCCACCTCCTGAAACCCGATGGAGTCTTCAAACTGCTCGTTTCCTGTGTCCTCGTCTCCTCCTCCTCCTCCTCCTCCTCCTCCTCCTCCTCCTCCTCCTCCTCCTCCTCCTCCTCCGTGGTTTCCCGTTGAGTGCCTCAGCGTGTCAATTTCAGAGGGGCCGGAGATGGCGAGGCGGAGACGGGAGAGGAACTTACGGACGAGAATCCACATCAAACAGCCGTCAGCGCATCTGTCCAGCATGCTCTTGATCCCCTTCCTCTCCCCGTCGTCCGACAGCTCTGATCGCGCGTCGTCGTCAGTATACACGTCCTCGAGGCTGGCGAAGGACTGTGAAGGCTCGGAGATGGAGGAGGCAACACTCTGCTGCGAGTTCGCAGCGTCCGGCAACTTGCACTTCCTGGAGCCGATGTGGAAGACGGAAGGGTTGCAGGCCTGCATCAGCCAAGAGAGAGCGGCGGAGTAGTTGTCGTCCGCTACCCCCTCGTTCTCCGTCATCAGCTCCTTCAGGCACTCGAAGTCCCTCCTCGTCCAAATCAGCAGGAAGTGGACGGTCATCACGCTCGCTGCCAGCACCGCCAGCGCCCCTGTGTCGCCATGGTTGTCCACCGAGAGGCTGTGCAGGACGAGCTGGAGGAACTTTCCCTTCCTCTCAAGACGCGAGAGCGCAGATCGAGGGAGGTTGCCCATGTAGTCGAGGTAGAGGATGCGGTCGGTGATGGAGTCTGCCATGGCTGAGGTGAGAGGGTGGATCGCCACCTGGGCGAGCGTCTCCGTGCGGGAGGTCATGCTCCCCTCCCAGAAGCCTGTGACAAGAGCATGCGACAGGCGCCAGAAGCCGCGGATGAGGCAGAAGCGAACGAGGAGGGGAGTGACGAGGTAGAGAGAGACGCTGAGGCTGTTGAGAGTGTCGAGCAGCACCTGCTTGAACTTGAGAAGGTCTACCTGATTCTCTCCTGTGGACGCGTGCTTTGATCCCTCGGCTCGAATCATCTCTGCCAGCCGAGCCAGACAGATCTGACATGCCAGCGCCTGAACCTGAGGAGGAGGAGGAGACGATGACGATCGAGTCTTGGCGAAGTATGATTCAGCAAACAGAGCGCAGCCGTCTCCTGTCAGGCTGTAGATGATCCCATGAGTCATGTCAGCCTCCTGAGGCTTCGGGATGAAGATCCTCCGCTCTTTGATCCTCATTTTTGGGTCGCTGCGCACGACATGCAACAGAGTCTCCGTGCAAGGATGCAGGTCAGGCCCCACCTCAAACGAGCTCTGCCGACTTCCCTCGTTCTGCTCTCGTCCCCCCCCCCCATCCTCGTCGTCGTCCCCTATCCTCGTTAGCAGGCTGCTCCCCAACTTCGGCTTCTCGGTCTCTTCCTGCTCTTCCAGAGACTCCAGGCTCCTCTGGTCAAGGACGGACCACAGGACGACACTGGACGTCGCGAACATCTCCAGGCTCCAGTAGCACGCGTGCAGCAGCCCTCGGTCCCCCTTCTGGTAGGCGTGGGGGAGGATGACGTCACGGATCACCGACCGCTTGCTCACTTCGCCCTCGTTCGCGTCGTTTGTGCACAATCGAACCACCATGAGCGCTAGATGAAGTTCTGACATGTTGCGAACCTTGCAGGGTACCAGTCAGACTCTCTACTAACCCTCCTCCTCTCCCCCTCCCTCCCCTCCCCCTCTTCCTTCTCGCAACCTTCCACTCCTACCCTCCTCCCTATGCCACCCGGCTGTTTCTGCGCTGCCCTCTTCTCCCTTACCAGCAAGTCGATCGCATCTCTCAGCCTTCCTGCAAGGATGAAGAAAGCGACCGCAGCCTCGTAGTTGTGCTTCCCCACAAGTGTGAAAGCGTTCTTACAGGCGGCCGTACGCGATCCCTCGTCTGCTTCAAAGTCTCTGAGGAGGAAGGAAGAAATCTACAAAGAAAGTGTCAGTTGGCTCCCTCTTACTGCTGCAGCACCTGCTGCTGTCCCTCCTCCTCCCCATCCTCCCCCTCCCTCACCTTCGTCTCTTGCGATGCCTTGAAAAGTGCTGCAAGGACTTTGACCTTCCCAGCTAGCACGTACCAGAGAGCTGCGTCCATGGGCACCTGCCGTCGCTTCATCCTCTCCTTCCCGATCTTCTCTGCGAGGTCTCGGAGGTGCGAGGTGCGATGTACCCAGAGGGCAGGCCAGCACGCCAGCCAAGAGGCTTCTGCTCCCTCCTCCACTCCCTGGTCCAGCAGGACCTCTTGCGAATCCGAGTGCAGAGCGTAGCAGAGGGCGACGGATGGAACAGGACGAGGAGGAGAGCTCTCTGCGTCAGCGTCCCCTGCCCCGCTCACCGTACAATACGACCGGAAGGAGAGGAAGGAGATCCTTCCCGGCAGGTCAAGGGATGAGCTGAACCCGTTGGAAAGGAAGCAGGAGAAGGCACGTAGCAGACGAATCAGGAACCTGGTCTCCTCGACAGAGAGACCCACTAGCGTCCTCCACCTCTTGCTCTCAGCAGAACTCTCCCCGGTGACGTCTTGGACGATCCTCGCGAGGATGGTCTCAAGATAGCTGCACAGCACGAGTCAGAGCGAGAGCAAGGAATAGACTGCTGAAGGAATGTGAGGAAGGGAATGCAAGTCACGCACCTCAGGAGCTCCTTCACCTCCGTGCATGTGATAACATTCTCCTCCTTGTGGTTTGCACTGTGAGAAGTCGGCAGGTTCTCGTCGCCGTCTCCATTCTGCTTTTGCTCGCTAGCGTCGCACGGCGGCGAGGTCAGCAGCAGCTCCACTCCCTCCACCTTCTCCTTGATTGCATCGAAGTCAGGCGATCTCCTGAAAGCTCCCTTCTCCTCATCCCAAACGTCTGCCCCCTCTCCCCCTAGCAACTCGAGCAACACAGGCTCCTTCGCTATCAACTTTGCAAGTGCGAGCGTCTTCGTCGCGTCAGACACTTTGAGCATAGCAAGCTTCTTGACTCCATCGAGGTTGGCCCCTCTGAGGGCCTCCACTGACTTGCTGGACTTCCCTTCCTCCTCAATCCCCTTCAAGGATGACGTCACCGCATCCAACGATTGGTCTGAATCGGAATCGCTTTCTCTCGTCGCAGGCGTCAGAGAGTCCAACGAGAGATTTTGAGTTGACGGCACAGTCGACAGACTCTGCGTCTTGATCTCCAAATAGAGGGTTTTCAGCAGATTCGCGGCTTCCGAGATCTAACAAGGTCAATGAGCTCTAGGGAGAGCAAAGGCGAGAGAGGACACTGAAATGACAGCCATTGGCAGAGATGACACGTGGAGGAAGGGACAAGACGCTAACCTGTCCAGCAAGGATCGCCTGCATGATACTCGTGGGATGGTAGTAAACCACACTAATGCCTGATCGTATCCAGTCTAGGTACGTCCACAGCCCGGGAGCAGCTTCTTGCGCCT